TGTCAGGGCAGCGCTGGCTCGCCAGGTGGTTGTCTGCCTGTGCCAAAGCTTGGCAGATGAAGGGACCTTGGATTTAATCCCAAACTATGCGTCCTTGGACTTGTGCCCTGGCACGTGGTAGGTCTGAATTTGGGGTACTTCATGGTACCTACAGATGTAGAAATACAAAGAGGCAGGTAATACCATGTTGAAGGGCCAAAGGATGTGAAGAAAGCATATTTATTGCATTATGAGTTTATTGTCTGTAGGAAGGATTAAGAACAATGTCATGATGCAGACAAAGATAAAAAGAAAATCACATTGCAGTTCAATAGTCTCTCTCTCTTTTTCTCTCCCTCTTTTTCTCTTCCTCTTTTATTGCCATTGAGCATATGACCCCTTACAGAGCGACAAAGAGACAGAGAAAAGGAGAGGGAGAGAGCACCTTTTAGTGGGAGGTGGTCACAATGTAGTCTCTTCTTCATTTCTTCATCCTGTCAGGATTTGAGGCATGGGTACACACACCCATGTAGGTCATGTTTTTCAAGTTGCCAGGACCAGGATTTGAACAATGGTTGGCTATATGGGGTCCAAGTCCCTTAACCACAGGCTCCAGAAGCAGCTCTCAATATTCTTTTTTTTTTTTTTTTTGAGAGATTTTTCCTACAGGGCGCGTGCGCTCGCCAGACAGACAGACAGAGACAGAGAGACAGAAAGCAAGAAATCACCCCCCAGTGGGAATGGTCACGCCACAATCCCTTCTCCTCCATTCTCCTCTTGGGATCTTGGGCATGCACGCACACGCGCCCGGCGTGAGTTTTAAGCCACTGGGTCCGGGACGCGAACCGTGGTCGACTACGTGGGAATCCAGCAACATAGTCATTACGCTAACTGCTGGTTCCCTCAATATTCTTTTTAAACTTTAAAAATTAACATATTTCTGAGCCAACAGGTTGGCGTGGTGCATAAGGTGGCTGGATCCCACATGGCCATCTGTGCTACTCAAGTCCTAGACCCATTGGCTTGAAAAACACACCAGACATGTGTGTGCCCATCCCCAAAATCCCGAGAGGAGAATGTAAGGGAAGAAACTCGGGCATGGCCATTCTCCCTAGGAGGTGATTTCCCACTTTCTCTCTCTCTCCTCTCTCTGTCTCTCTTTGGCAAGTGCATGTGCCTTGTAGCAATACAAAAAATAATAATAATAATAAAATTAAAAAATAAAACAAGACAAAAAAAGAATATACTTCTTAAACTTATGAGAGTCCCAATAATGAATTTATAGTCTTCAATCAAAATCCATGATAGTATCACTTAGATTGTCACTGACATAACATATATTCTATATTATTAAGCTAGATGATTAAAATGGGCAGCTTTGTGGACAAACAGAATTTCATGCCTATGAATTCCCAGCTTTGCAACCTTGCCCAAATTACCCCCATTCCTATACTCCCAAGAATATCTGCTCTAACATGAGACTAATAGTAAGTTCAAGGACTGATTAAATGAGATAATCCATGAAAAGAGTCAACATTTATTGCAATGCAACCCAGAGTGTATGAACATAATTTATCTTCTCTACTTCTTTAACCAATACAAACTTTTTCTATTATTCCTATTTCCAATTGAAGGCAGAAACTATTTTTAATGACAAGTACTAAATCTCTCCTATTGTAGATAGTCTCATTTGAGGGTAAAAAGAGGTGTGCATCTCTCTTGAAAGACTTCTTCTGACCTTCTTCCCAAGATTGCATCTGGACACATGGGAAAGCTCATGTCGCCTCAAGTTATCAGGGCATCTCTCATCTCCAGATTATCTTTCTCCAAGCATTTGCTGACACACAGGTGAGATGCAGCTTATTTTACCCATTCTCTAGCCACTGAACTCTGCCCTTAATGCATCCACTTCTGAAGTGTTCACAGATGCAGTGACGTCTGGGCTAGCCTCTTAGCACAGTAAGACTTTATGACTCCACATCACAGCTTTCGTGCCAGACTGGTAGAAACCCAGCAGCCACCACACTCCTCACCACTGTCACCCTCTCTGTCACTGCTATCTTGTTCTTGGCTTTTTCCTCAATACGCTTGGGTCCCAGGGTGAGTGCACTGGGTGCCCGAGGGCCTTACCTTTACTTCAGTATGGACACTCCCTATTATCTTTCCATCTCTCGTAGGAAAAGCTTTCACCTAACTTATTTCTTTGGTGGGAACTTTCCCCATATCTTACCCACTTTGGACATCTTTTTCTTTTCTTTTATATTTAATTTGCTATAAGGTATGTGTACTTGTTAGAGACAGAGAACAAGAGAGGGAAGATGAAAAGGCACTTCTTATGGGGGATGGTCACAAAGCAATCCTTTGCCTTTCTTTCTCATTTTGGGATTTTAGGCATACACCTGTGCACCTGGTGTGCCTTTTCAGGGACTCGAAATGGGCAGTCAGTCCTGCAGGATCCATCTACTTAACTACCATGCTATTCACTGGCCTGGAAATCTTCCATTGTAGGATTAACTCTCTTTTTTTTTGGCATAACAATTTTCATGCCTTTAAAAGTCCTACAGAAGAAGGAACTACTGGAAAATGACTGTGAAGTACTGCCTGAGTATTACCCCCTGACACACAGAACATATTGATATCATTATTATAAGACAAATAATAAATAAGAAGTTATTGAATTTTGATTACGACAGCAAAGACAAACCTCAAAATCCTCTTTTTCTTATAACCTAAGAGGAAAAAGCAAGCAAAAAAAAAAAACATATAAAATAGACTAACAGCAAGCATGAGGCTATAGAACAAGTTTGTTGTCAGGTAAGAAAGATTGAAAGTGTTAAAAATCAAGACTGAATACGGTAGACAGAATCCCATAACAGCTCCCAATTTCTTCCCCTTGTGTACATGCCTCCCTTAAATAATCCCCCTACACACACACTTAAGTGTGAATTGAACCAGTGCATGTGATTGGATGAGACTCGTGTGATTAGATCACTAATCAATTGACTTGGAGTTAATCAGAAGAGAGATGATCCAGAATGGGCCTGATCTAATCAAGTGGAAGAAGGGCAAGTATCAAAGGGAACTTGCTCTTCCAGAAGGAAGCAAATACCCAGTTGTCAATGGTCTATGAGGCCCAGGAGGCGAGAACCTAAGAGCAGCTACTTGCTGCTTAGAGTGGCCCCTGGCTGGCACCTAGTAATAACATGGGGATGCTGGTCATATACCCACAAGGACACTAATTCTGCCAGTGTGTCAATAAATGGAGCAACTTATTCCTAGTTCATCCATAGAGAGCAGAGAATGCAGGAAGCCATGGGCTGACTCCTGACCCATGGTCTCTGTGTAATAAAAGTATCTGCTCTGAGGCACTAAGTTTGCAGTAACTTGTTCTTGAGCAAGAGAACCCGATATACTGGGCTCGGCAAGCATCCAAGCTATTTCACACCTGCTTTGACAGAAGTATGTAAGGGGGAATGGAATGGGAATGGAAAGCAAATGCACACACACACACACACACACACACACCTTAGAATAGAGGTCTACTTGGAAAGAGGTAGAATTGCTAAGGTAGTCAGTTTCAAAAGGAGAAGTGAACTCCTCCCCCAAAATCTCCATCTGCCGTGACCACCTCTGAGCTTAAGCAGAGCCAGGGAAAACCTGTGAAGTTCTTAATCTAAAATCAAAGGAAGGAAAATAGAAAAGGCAATATAATTATTAACTTCCCAATCTAATGGCCTCTAGCAATAAACAAGGATTTAGCCAAAGACAGGATGGAAAATGACTTAAGAAAAGGTAAAATCTTCAGCGGGAACCAGCAGTGATGGAGAAGAGACAGCAGTGAAATCCGTCCCACACCATGGAAGAGTAGACCAAGGAGAGAAAGTGATAGTAGTTATGGGGGACAAAAGGTTGAAATGGGATAAAGAACAACCTGGCTGACTCAATAACTGAATGGAAATCTCCATGCCTCAAGGCAAACTGGGAAAATTCTTTGAGACTCAAAAGCATCCTTTTATGGGACCAGAATACTGTGGTTCTGTTTTAATTTCTTAATAGCTATCTTTCAATTTGTTAAATATTTTGAATTGTAACCTGGGTTACAATTACACATGGGGATAAACTTGGCCTTAAGATATGAAAGCAGTGCTCAGGTTTACTAATAAAATGGCATTCAGCCCCATTCAATGTTTTTCACCAATGGAGTGATGGTAAATATTTAATAACTGGTTCTCTGGGCAGAAGGGTGGGGAAGGCGGGATGTGTGTGCATAGATACGTATAGGTTTCTAAAATGTGTACTGCTATGAAGGGTATGTAAGACACAAATTAAAAATAATGAACTGATAAAAAATTATTTACAAGTAATAATAATGTATATCATTTCATAGAGTCAAATGATGCTCATAGTTTTGGCTGATTTTTGCTGAATTCACGTTTTATGGCCAAACTATGATTGTAATCAATAAATAAGTGTAGTTCCAACATGAATGCTCATGGACATTTTTCTCTAGCTAGTAGGAATAAAGCAAAACCACAAAGGTACTTGCCACTTGTCAATATATTGAATGACTTCTTTCTGAAGTAGGCAGTAGTTTCCAAATACTGAAGAAGTATTTTCTATGCTAATCACAATGTAATGGCAACACATATGGCATGTGTTTAAGTTTAACCAGCATTATTAACATTCTGTCCATCAGGGTGTTAAGTCTAGATCATCAACAAATCAATAAGACAAGCCTTGATTGTAGTAAATGCCAACTTTCATGATGTAAAAACTCCCCCTGTGACTGAGTTCAAGCCACAAATGAGATGTTGCCAAAGTCCAAAAAAATGGTCTAAATGACTTCACTAGCAGGGATAATAGTAGGGATGTGGTAGTCAGGAGCAGTGAGTTTTGACAGTGTGCTACCTTTATGCCTAATATGATGCACTTATTTGTAAATTAATATAACTTACTTTTTAATAACGTCTATATAGCTTAAATAACTGACTCACAAAAATTTAATGATCTGCTCTCATCAGCAGGTTGGACAGATTCCAGCATGCCACTGCTTTCCATGTTACTGCACCCCTCAGGCTACGTGAATACTACCTTCAAATTTTAAATTACAAAAGAAGAGGAACAGTTCACAACTGAATTGGAAAGGGAGTCAATGAGAATCCATCCACTCTGTTTTAGACCTCCATACCACTGCCCAGGTAAGAGTACCCAGCACAAAAATGAAACAAAAAGAGAGAAGGGGAGGTGCAATGCATCTTTCCTAGCATATTCAGTAAAATAATGAGGAAAAGAACTACGATATGCCAAAAATACTAAAAGAATCTCTTCTGAGAGAAAATACAGACCTTCAAGAGAGAGGAAAGTTCCTAGAAGTGCTTCAGGCTATCAGTGAACTAAACAACACCATGAATTTAAAAAAAAAAAAAAACAGGGCACAAAGATAAGCATGAAGAACAAAGTAAGATGAAAAAAGAGATTTGAATGTTAAGGAAATCAATTGAGGTCCAAATTGACACACTTATTAATACATTTTAAAATATTTTTAAAGAAACACAAATAAGTGAAGCCCAATAGTTTGCAGAGTAGTTAAGACACTGGATTCCCACATGATTGACAATGATTTGGGTCCTGGACCTGGTGGCTTGAAGAAATCACATGAGGTATGTGTATGCCCAAAATCCTGACAGGAGAATGGAGGAGAAAGGATGGCATGGCCATGTCCCCTGGGCAGTGATTTCTCACTCTTCCTCTGTCTCTCTCTCTCTGGAGAGTACGCCTTCCTTATGGCAGAAGTAAAACAAAACAAGACAAACAAACAGAAATAAGTAAATATGCATGACAACCAAAATGATAGCAAATATAAAGAGCTGAAGATAACCATGTAAAATATAAGGAGGGAACTAATATATATTATAATTCAAGAGAAGAAAAACAGATGTAATGGTAGTCAAAGGTTGTCTGCCAAAGAGATAACTGGTGTCCTTGAAGTATAATACTAAGTAACCTTCTCTTTAAAAGAAACCAGACCACGGGACCAGCAGTTAGCGTAATGGCTATGTCGCTGGACTCCCACGTAGTCGACCGCGGTTCGAGTCCTGGACCCGGTGGCTTAAACTCACGCCGGGCACGTGTCGTGCATGCCCAAGATCCCAAGAGAAGAATGGAGGAGAAGGGATGGGGCGTGGCCATCCCCCCTGGGGGGTGATTTCTCGCTTTCTATCTCTCTGTCTCTCTCTGTCTGTCTGGCGAGCGCACGCGCCCTATAGCAAAAATCTCTCCAAAAAAAAAAAAAAAAGAAAGAAATAAACCAGACCACTAAACAATAAAATCCAGACAGTTAGATGATGAAAGAAGGTTCAGTGGAAAGAAGAGTCAACAGTGAACACAGACTACATAATTACTCTCTCTGGAGAGTATGCCTGCCCTATGGCAGAAGTAAAATGAAACAAAACAAACAAACAGAAATAAGTGAGAGGGAGGTACGTGTTATAAATATTGACAGTGTAATTACAGCAAACAATAATTGAAAAATGAAAAACAAAGGAAGATGAGAACATTTAAGAATATTAATTTTCTATACAAACAAAGGAAGATGAGGACATTTAAGAATATTAATTTTCTATACATAAGCAATGAACAAGTAAAACTTGAAGCTGAGAATAAATTAACATTTACGTTAACTGTCCCCAAAATAAAATGCTTAGGTGTGCATGATTTACATGATGGCTCTGTTATTTTAATCTAGTCTACCAGTCTGTGTGGAAGGATGATGGGCGATAGGAAAGGACATGAGGAAGGGAATCAAGGGGGAATAAAAGAAAGAAAGATGTACAAAAATTACATGTAAATGAGAAATCATAAAATAGAGTTTAAAATGCAAAAAGAAAAGATCTACATGAGGAAAACAACAAAATTTTAATGAAATAAATCAATAACTAAATAAGTGAAAAGATAGCTCATATTCATGGATAAGAAGACTGAATATTGTCAAGATGTCAGTTCTTCCCAACATAATTCTCAACATAATACAAACGAAAATTTTTATTCTCAACATGAAAATGAAAATCTCAGCAAATTACTTTGTGTATATAGACAAACCAATTCTAAAGATTAGAGAGAGAGATAATAGATACATAACAGCCAACTTATTGAAAATGAAAGTCAGAAGACTGACACTATCAGACTTCATTTCAAGAGATTTTTTGCTATAGGGTACATGTACTCGCCAGAGAGACAGAAAGAGAAAAAGTAAGAACTCGCCCTGCAGGGGGGATGACCACACCACAATCCCTCTCCTCCATTCTCCTCTCAGGATTTTGGGCATTCATACACACATGCCTGGTGTGAGTTTCAAGCCTTCGGGTCTGGTACTTGAATTGTGGTTGGCCATGGGGAGTCTACTGCCTTAACTGCAAAGTCACCTGCTAGCTCCTACACTATCAGACTTTAAGATTAACTATGAAACTAATCGATACAGTGTTGTATTAGCAAAGGAAGGAAAAAGAAAAAGAAAAAGACAACTAAGATCAATGGAACAGAATAGGGGGCCGTGAAACAAATTCACATAAATATAATCATTTGATCTTTGTCAAAGAAGCAAAAGCAGGACAATGGTTGCCATTTTTAGAATACTGTCTTCGCCTTTGATTTTTACCAATCTGGCTAGAGTGTGCTGGGGGGAGGATATTTTTATGTTGATTCTATTTGGAATTCTTTCTATTTATTGGATCTGAATTTTTTCATGTTTCTCTATAGTTGGAAAGTTTTCAGATGGTTATTTCATGAAAGAAGTTTTCCATGCCTTCACCAGCTTCTTCACCTTCTGAAATAAGCATTATATGGCTATATGGGCATTTCATGGTGTCTAGAATTTCTCATTATCCTTATTTTTATTTACTTATTTTTTTTCATTCATTTTGATGGTTTGGTCTACATTGACTTTGTCTTCAAGGTCAGAAATTCATTCTTCTGCATGGCCCAATCTGCTACTAGTGCTTTCTAGTGAGATTTTAATATCTTATATTGTATTCTTTATTTCCATATGTTCCTTTTGATTTTTTGGGGGGTGTCTATCCTTTTATGGAATTCCTTTTTTATGTCCTGGAATGGTTTCCTCCTTTTTTGGAATTCATTGTCTGTTTTCTCTTGCATCTTATCGAGTTTTGTCACAAGGAATGTTTGGAATTCTTCTGACATTTGTGTGAATTCCTTTGTGCTGCCACTCATTGGTGAGGGGCTACTGTGCTCATCTGGGGGACAGTTACCCCTTGTTTTCTCACATTTCTTTGATCTTTGTGCTAGTTTTTGGTCATCTGAGGCAGTATTCACTTTTTCCTATCTATTGGAGTAGGAATGGAGGGGGGAATTTCAACCATAGGTCCCAAGTGTGTTCCTAATGGAAGGCTGTGTCTCCTGGAACAGAGCAGATAAAGTCTACACAGGTAATTTCAAGTGAATAGCTCCTCTACCAAATTTTCAGCTGTTGGTGAGGTAGAAATAAGCTAAGGAGATAAAACTGAGTAAAGAGGATGAAGTTCCTCACTAGAGTGTAGGTCAGAGTGCGGCAAGTTCCACAGATAACCCCGGAAGGTGAAGGTGCACTCATGAAGAGGTCTGCTGAAAGGAGGCCCACATCTCTGGTGGGCAGGTTCAGCCCAGGCAGCAGGGAGTGCTGGGCAACACCTGAAAGTTCCAAAGATAACCCCCCCCCCCATAGCCTGCATTTCTAACAAGCTTTCAGGTGACACCTATTTTGCAAATCCATGGACCACACTTGGAGAAATGAGAGTCTAGACTTGGTTGTCCAATACCATAGCCTCTTACCATAGGTGGATGTTGAACACTTGAAACATGGTAGCCTGAATTGAGATGTGTTGTAATATAAGTGCCAACACAGATTGGATTTCAAAGACTTAATATGAAAATAAAAAGAGCAAAATATCTCATTAATATTTTATATAGTTTTTTGTTGAAATTACAACACTTTTGTTATGTTGCACCAAATATGATAAAGTATTAAAATTATGGGTCAGTCTTGATAGCACAACAGTTAGCTGTTGCACAGATGAAGCTGGATCCCACATGGGTGGCCAGGGTTTGAGTCCCAGCCTGTCAGGCTTAAAAATATGCCAAGCATGCATGGAAACCCAGGATCTTGACATCATTAAGAATTGGAGGAAAATGACCATGATGTGATCAGGGTTGTTGAAGAGTGTATTCACTCTACCTCTCCCTCTCTATCATCTATGTGTATCTCATGCACATGCGCCCATGCATGTGTTTTCTGGCATTAACAAAAAAGAAAACAGAATAAACTAATTTTACTTATTCCTTTTCACTTTTTAATGTGACTACTTGAAAATGTAAAATATACATGTGGCTCATGCTATTATTTTTATGGGACAGCGCTGGTCTAGATTGGGTGAAGTTACTTCATTCTAATTCTGAATCTTAACCTACTTAGCAGGAAGACTATAAATTCACTAACTTCAGTTTTCCCTTGTAAACTGAGAATATTAATAGTGTTTGCTTCATTGAGCTATTGTGGTGATTAAGTAAGAGAACCAAATAAAGCATTTAACACACAGTAACTCACCAAACAAAAATGGTTTGATGCTTTGTATTTTTTAAATATGCTAAGCATAGCAATCATGAACTTCAATCACCTTTTTGACAAATATTTAAAAACTGATTTGGGTCATACACATCACATAAACTTTGCCAGGCTCATTCTTCTTCTTTCCTAAATTTAATAACATTGATGAGGTTCCCAGTGAACATAAAGATATCAGGATGTATTAAACTTTCATGCTGAACACAGCTATAAGACTTCTATTTCGAGGCCATTTATCTGTTGAGTCATGTCACCTTTGCCTACACAGAACTGTTTTACTCCAAGTATCAAAAGCAACATATATACAAGAAACGAATGTCTTTCAGGCCCCATGATTTCACCTCTTCACCATTCCACTCCTTCCCAGAATATATAGGCTCTAGGGAACCACCAGAAGACAATTTGCTACAGAGCAATTTGCCTAAAGCCAATTAGTTGGAAGTCCAATTCACCAAATGACTAATTCATCAAATTTCCTATACCTTTCAACTCTTTTGTGTGGCTCATGGGTTTTGATTTTGTCCTTAATATATAGCATTTTAAGGAATGTGTATTCTGTTTCTGTCCCACCTGGAGCTATAGAGCAAAGAAAGAGGAAGACTGACGAAAGAGCAGAGAAATGGTGATTGCAAAGGGGAAGCTGAGGGTAGAAATCAAGAAACACTGCAGAGAAGAAGAAGGATGTATGTAAAGAAACACTGCAGAGAAGAAGAAGGATGTATTTAGAAGACAATAATCTCAAACATAAAGCATTCTTTTGGATGTGTTTTTCATAAATACACTATCAATCCAGCAACTAACTGTTATAGTTGTTAATATACAAGAAAATATTCCAAAAATAATTTTTCATTGAATATATATGATAAAATTAATATAATATCATGCAAAATACTATACCCATAGGCTTTTTTTTTAAGAGAGATTTTTGTCATAGGGTGTGTGTGCTCACTGGAGAGACAGAGAGAGGTGGAAAGACATAAAGTGAGAAATCACTCCCCAGGGGGATGGCCATGCCACAGTCCCTTTTCCTCTATTCTCCTCTTGGGATTTCGGGTATGCATGCACATACACCCAGCATGAATTTCACACCACTGGGTCTGGGACTTGAACTGTGGTCAGCTATGTGGAAGTTCAGCAGTGTGACCATTATGCCCTCTGCTGGCCCCACAGGCATTTTTATATTCAGAAATTATCCTTGTAAAATATATTCCTTGCCTCTCAAGTCTCCAATATCTCAACCTTTCGTCTTTTCATTCTCCATCTCGAAGCAACAGGAACCAGGGACAGAAACAAACTGAAGATTATTTAGCTTGCTTTTAGGAAGGCAAAAACGAAAAGTGGCTCATCCAAACATGCTTTGAAAATGGAAGTTTGGTGAGTTGGTCATAAATTACACACCCTTTGGCAAAAATGATTGTTCGGCGAATGGATCTCTAGGATTTAGACATGTAACAAGATCTAGTAATGTGTAACCATGTTATACATTCTGCCTACCATTTTCATTAAAAAAAGAGTTTTAGGCAAACTGTTATCAGGTATATATGTTCTTTACTTTAAACACTCAGGTAACAATATAAGGTCTAGTTTTTGACCCACAGTCACCTGCCTACTTCCTCACTTGTGTGTCACTCAACCATGATACTCCATTTTGCTTAAGCAGATGCAATTTGAGAACTTACCTATACACTCCTCAGTCATTACTTATTTATTTATTCTATGACAGAGAGAGAGAGACAGCACCTCCAATGGGATCTTGAAGTCATCATCTACCCTCAGCCTTCAACCAGCCCGGAATCATGGATGAGTGTGTACCCAGAATACTCAGGAAGGTCTTGGACTTTAAGCAAAAACCTTCCCGTAGGAGATTGCCTTACAGAGTGTGGCATTTTACTGCTGCACCACTGTCTGGGTCACATTACCCTTTTTTTTTTTTTTTTTTGAGAGGTTTTTGCTATAGGGCACATGCACTTGCCAGAAAGACAGAGAGAGAGACAAAGAGATAGAAAGTGAGAAATCACCCTCCCCCAGGGGGGATGGCCATGCCGCAATTCTTTCTCCATTCTCCTCTCAGGATCTTGGGCACGCACACACACACACATACCCAGCATGAGTTTAAGCCACAAGGTTCCAGACTTGAACTGCGGTTGTCCACATGGGAGTCCAGCAACATAACCATTATGCCGACTGCTGGTCTCACGTTACCCTTTTTTATATGTGAATATCGTAAATGTAACTGCCATTCTGAGTCTCCCAACTACATGAGCACTTCAATGTGACTAGAAATGTTCTTTTCAAAAAAGACATGAAAAAAGAAATATACAATTATCTTAACTAGGGAACATAATTCTAAGACCAGGAAGAGGTGGTTCAATTCAAACCAAAGGGATTAATAAAGTTGGGGTCTGTGTCAGTGAGCAGTACTGAGAGACCTGACAGGAGGTGTTGATGCTGATCTGAGATGCAGAATACCCTTCCCGTCATCCTCATCTGTAACGTTTATTTTGTGTAGATGTCAACATTAGGCTGTCATAACTCAACTCATTCAAATTTGTAGACTAGGTTGGATTGCCTCTGCTCTTCCTCTATGTTTATACAGCAAATTTTCCTTTTTTTAAAGAATTATTTATCCCATTTAGTTAATTAATTAATTTATTATTCTTCAATTTTCTGAGAGAGAGAGAGAAAAAAAAAAAAAAAAGAAAGCTGCCAAGTTCAGGACTCGAACCATGGTTGACCATGTGGGAGTCCAGTGCCTTAACTGACACGCCACTTGCAGGTCCCTATATAGCAAAGTATCTAAATATACTTTTGCTTATATAAGTTCCATATGCCCCTTAGTAACATGCCACTTTCTAAAAATTCTGCTTTATCATCATTATTAAGACAACCACAGCTACCACATTTTTACCACATCTTACCTATCTATACACATTTGTATATACGTTAGATGATCCGGTCTTTTTGACTGCTAGGAGGTGCATATCCTTATTTATTCAGAAAATAGCCGAGAGCTGTCCCCATCATACAGTGACTAACTATAGTGCATCAGGAACCAGATCCCACACAGCTGACTGTGGTTAAAATCCTGGCCCTGGCAGCTTGAAAAACATGCCAGGCCCTTGCAAGTGCCTTCCCCCAAAGCCAACAGGAGAAGGGATTGCAGTGTGACCACGCAACTGGGGAGTGCTCTGTCTCTGTCTCTGTCTCTGTCTCTCTCTCTCTCTCTGGTGAGCACATGTACTCTCTGGCAATTAGAGAATAAAGAGGGGAAAAAATTAGCCAAATCTCAAACCCAGAAAAAAATACACTGAGGATATCTCAGCTGGACTAAAACTATTGATCGATTGATTTGACTTCAAAGGGACTCAGGCCCTGCTAGAGGACGAGTCTGAGTTACTAACCAGTCACTCCAGGAAGCTGACAAGAACGTGTACCTGAGCCAGATTCTGAACTGTGGAAAATCCACACACTGGCAGATATTCCTGGGCATAATAAAACAATAATGTCATAATCCCATCCACTGCCTGTGACTTCCTGGTTTTCTTACCGTTTTGAAAGGCAAATTATTATATAATAAGAACCATAAACTTGTGCTTCATGTTTTTTTCAAATATGCATATTGAAATCTTTGTAAAAGAAAAATAAAAACCTAGCCTTGCTTTTATTTACAGGACACCTACTAACTTCTAAAAAAAGTGACAGCATACTTACCTAAACACAGATAGACTGATGAAGTGACCTAGACTCTAGAAAAACATTCTGTGGATCAAAATCAGCTTTTGGTTGAGGGCAAAGGATTATGTCCTACACTTGTCCCCCCAAAAATTAATAAATAAAGCCAATTAAAGACTAACTGTCCAGGGGTCCAGCTAGTATGGAAACCAGAAATTCTAGAACTAACAGAAGTAAACATTAAGGTGAAAATCCAAAGCAAAACAAAACAAGAGACAAAGCAAAAACAGACCTAGGATTAACACATAGGGACAATTTTCTGCTTTTTAAATCATGAAGGTTTCCTCTCCCCTTCCATAATATAAATCTTCATTTCTTACAATTTGCGAATCGCTGAGCCAATATTAAGACTCCTTGGGTGGGGACAGTTTAGAAGACAGGGAGCACTCCCTCTTTCTCAGGGAACAAAGAGCAGAGAGCTTCATGATGGGAATCTTGACAGGTAGGTACACATGAAAATACTCAGAATACTGAGTTTATCAGAACATCCTGTTCTTTGGTAAAATAGGGCATTCCCGGCACAGATATTCCTGGACCTTGGGAAAGTATTTATGATTGTTATGTACAAAAGGATGTGTTTTTCTATTTGCATCTGTGAAATGAGAGCTACGAATGACGCTAGGAAATTGTGGGGACACAATTCATTTGTGGGAGTGCTTCCAATATTTTGAAAGGTTCAAGTCGGTAGTAGGGGATAACATGAGAATGCACCTTAACACCACTTAAGTCTTAACAAAAGAAAAATAACAATTAATATAGGAAAAGGAGTGTATTTCAGAACACAGGAAACTGAGTCACAGAAAAAGCTGGGCCTCTGCTTCCAGGTTCCAACTTTGGTATGAATGAAATCATTAGGAAGTAAGGGTAATACAAATGATAAAGTTTAATTTAAAAGAGAGACAGTGATTAGATGAGGGAATGCAGCCCCATATAATTCAACCAACTATCTCACTGTGGTTTTTTTTTCTTTTTTCTTTTCTTTCTTTCTTTTTTTTTTTTTTTTTTTTTTTTGAGAGAGATTTTTGCTATAGGGTGCATCGTGCACTCACTGGAGAGACACAGAGACAAAAAGGGAGAAATCATCCCCCCCAGGGTGGATGGCCACACTTCAATCCTGTCTCCTCCAGCTCTCCTCTCAGGATCTTGGACACGCATGCACACACACTTGGTGTGAGTTTCAAGCTGCCGGGTCCAGGACTTATCCAGTGGCCGACTATGTGAGAGTCCCGTGACGTAACCATTACACCATCTGCTGGCCCCAATCTCACTGGTTTTTAAAGACTCAAAATAAATACATAAATCAATAAAAACAAGGAAAATATTTGTAAGAAAAGGCCCAGCACAGTGGCACCGTACGTGGCAAACTGAACTGAAGTGCTGGAAGCCACAAGGTGGACTGTGCGTTCATTAGCCAGAAAGCAGGCTGCGTGCACATGTGTGGGTGCCCACAAGCCAGAGGAGCTGGAGGGCTGGGAAAATGGATCATAGCATGAAAAGAGACTGTCAAGGGTGCTTCTGTCTCTCCTGAGTGCACATGTGCTCTCTTATCATGAGTCAAATAAATAAATGTAAAAAAACGCCAAATAACATATTCAACAAATGAAACAAATCAAAACCATGTAATGGCATGGTTCTAAAGCACAGGAGAATCCCTATCAAGATGCACGGTGATTAAACGTAAATCTCTGAAGTGTGAAAAATAAAATAAAATAATCCTCAGGACATCTTGGGCCAGAAATGAAGAAACAGGTACGTGGAGGCAGTTAGAGTCCTCGGACCTACACGGTCAGGTCTGTAAGCACCTCAGCAAGAGGTGAGCCTTTCTGGAGCCAACTGAGCTATGACTCCGCTGGATTTCTTTGAATTGGGAATAGGAAGTTAAATTTTAATGTACCATTGTTAATATAAACCATAAACCTTTGCTGGAAA